CTCGTCGGGTGAAGCTTTATCTAGTCGGGAAAGCGTGTTTGAACCAAAATTTTGTATTTATTTCAAATTCATGTCATTTGTTAGGGTTATGGTTTTGTGGGTGGTTTTTGATCTCCCGACTCCATCAATCTCATTTTTTATTAGGATTAGCTTAGAAAACAACTATGAAGCTTGCACACGGACTATCCGGGGTGGATTTATCATCGATCAGTGCTGACAAACTGGGAGATTTATAGTTTATTTCTCTTATTCATGGTGTATTCTTTATTTGTTTGGTTTTATATATGTATTTACTTTGAACTCGTGTATATTTATTTCCCATGGCAATATATAAAGCTTTCATTACAAATCTTTGTCGATTATTATCGTGGATTTTTGCTCTGTGCTTGGGGTTTAGGTTGCTATATACATATACTATTCAAATTTTTATTTAGGGTGATTATCTAATAGTGTCTAGATTCTAGAGATAGATCCAGAGCTATTATTCTCTTGGGTGTCTATGCTTAATGCCTCTGTGTTGGTTGTGTTGTGCTGAGAGATCATCAACGCAAATAACACAATTGTCTTTTGTGTTGTTGAGGTTGGTTGAGAGATCGTCATCGTACAGTGAATGTTGTGGTTGATACATGATGACATTGATGAGTATTGTAGGTTGAATATAATTGGTCGATAGGTTTAAGTTTGTAAGGAGTGGATTATATGCATGCCTTATATGTTTCTTCTCTCTGAAGAATGAATACTTTTTCTATTAATAGTTTTAATTCCTGCATTTACTTTAATCCCATATTTAATCCAAACTCATAAATGTGAGACTTGTCGAACAATAATTCAGTAGCACTAATCCCTACGAAGATAATATGATAAAACTAAATACTTACTTACTTTTGCTTTCCGCTTTACCGCTTCAGCATCAGGTCGATTCAACAACTTTAATTCCACCAAATACCGACTGAGCCCTGACATTTCGTCATAATCCTAAGAAAAGAAGTCTTTGAATTCTGTAAGCAACTTGATCATCTAGGAATTTAGGATTGGATCAATCTTTGCGCTTATATAATTTGGTTTTTTGATTGTTCTATCTCCTAAATTAACCTCTTATATTGGACATTGAGCTTGTATCCGCTTACTTGAAGCTAATGGATCTTTTATGAATCCCAAAGGCTCATCATCGTAAATATAATCAAGTCTTTGGTTGTCTGAAATTAAGTTCACACCAATCTCGTCTATTTTTATTAGTTTCAATTGTAGTGGCTTCGACAACCATTATTTGTTGGGAATCATCCTCTAAGGTCGCCTTTATTTTATTTTCATCCATATAGGCCAAAATTCGAGCTAATGTGCTCGAATAAGTCATTATTATTTGGTTCTGACCACACAGTACTTGTGGTGGCATCTTCGCCATTTCAATGCCCATTGTCCTCATGTTCCCATTTGAACCCATGGGTAGATGTAACTTCAATGAGTATAACACACCTCCTTTTAAAGAGAATCTTGTTCCAACATGCAAACATGGTGAAATGTTTTCCAATTGCTTTTCAAATGTTTTTCTTTTCTATATGATTAACCTGAATAAAAAAAACTTTGATCAACCTCGACGTTTTCTATAATGCCATCTGATCTCCAGGTAAAAATCCTCTAGTGAAAATTGAGGGGACTTCCCCCATATTATGGATCCACTCTCGACCAAGCAATAAATTATAGTTTACTTTAGTCGAAATGACCACAACTAATGGTGGTCTTATAGTTGTACCTACAATAATATCGACCTGAATAACTCCTAAAGTTTACTTATTTTTCCTTCATAGTTATATAAAACCATATTATGAGGCCTTAAATAAATATTATACTTGCCAATTTTCTTTGATAAAGAGTGTGGCATCATGTTAATCGCTTCTCCTCCATCTACTAGAACTTCGTTAATGCCTATGTTATCAGCCTTAGCCGAGATGAAAAATGGCTTTAGGTTTTGTTTCATCCCTTCGTCAGGCCTTTCAAAAATGGATTTTTCTTCCTCTACACACCCATTATTCATTACATAATAGCATAAAGGTTTATAGTTTTCCATTTCTACAGTAAAAAATCACCCCTTCTTCAGTTACTTCAATAATCTAGTCAAATTCTATGGGTAGAACAAAGACCATGTTACATATTATGTTTAGTTCGCCTTCAGACCTAGAATCAAAGTTATCAGTCAACATGTCACCATATTCATTTTGTATGGCGTCCCCCCCCCCCCCCCCCCTTTTGGTTTAACAACTGCTGGAAAAAAGGGAAAAAGCTTATCCCTCATAGGTCACTTTGCCATTTAAATTTCTATCATCGCCCGAGATTTCCCCTTTTTACTCGAATCTTCAGCCTCGAAGGTAGCCTTCTTCTTGCATTGGTGTCTTCTCCACTGGGTCCTAGTCACGGGTTTGTTTCCTAGGTAACTCTTAGAAGCATATGAATACTTTTTTGGCACCTATGACTTGTTGTGGTACGATGAGACCGTACCAACTTCAATCAACCTCCATTTTTGTTTATCAGTGTTTGTTTTAGCTGTAGGTCTAATCCACTCACTAAGAGGAACATTGGTAGGTGGAATATATGTCATGTTCTAGTATGTCTTGTAAGGAACTCCTCTTTTTTCGAAAGTAAACTCAGTCCTCTTGTCGTCTTGACTATTCTTTCTTGGCAGCTGGGGCTTGATTTTATCAAGGTCTTTAGTAGCTACCTTATCGAACATTGCACTACAGCGAGGACATAGAATTACTTTAGAGCCTTTAATCTTGCACATGTTAAGAAAGACAATCAACTTTTCCTTAACTTTAGGGTAAACCACCTTCATTTTCTCAGTGTAGTCCAACATGCTGACTTCTTCAACATTTAGGTTGAGAGCTTCAACAGTGTTGACCATCATATTTTCTACAGGTTTGATGAAGTGTGCTTTCTTGACTTGAAGAGGATCTGATTCAATTCTCATTTGTGGCTTTTGTTTATCCCCTAACTTCAGCCTACCATTTTCAAAGCATTTTGCATCAAATCCATGAAAAGAACACATTGAAACATTTTATGACCAAGCAAATTATGATATTTACAAAAACCTTTTTTCTTCCTTTGTTCCAATGGTGGCGTCTTTAGGCGTTTCTACATTATAATTTGACCATTAACAACCAGGAGATAATTTTTTTTTGTCACTTTTGGTTACATCAAATGTATAATTTTTTGCAACAAATTTCTTGTTTTTACTTGGTTTGACAAGATTTTTCCGTTTGAAGGTCTTAAAACCTTACAAACATATGGAGGCACTAGCTTTAATTCTACCAGAATAACCTCACTTTCTTTCGACACATTCGAAAACTATGTTAGCTTCTTGATTGTTTTTGTCTATTTCTACATAAGCAACTTTCTCCTTCCTAGGGTGTCGATTTGATCTAGCAATTTCATCCTTCAACTGTTCCACTTGTCAAACCATGTCTGCAAATCAGGATATATTCCTTAGGTATTTGGTATCTAACTTTTTCCTAATTGAATAGTCTAAGCCATCTGCAGCCATTTCGACTAACTCATGCTAAGACACTTGAGTAAAACATCTCGACTTCGTTAATCATCTATTGATTTAGCGAATTTTCTTTTCATGCTGGCTAATTCTTTTAGGAAATTTTTTGACTTACCCATATAGAATTTCTTGTGGAATACTCTTTCTAGTTGATTCCAATTGTATATGGAGTTTGGAGGAAGAGTGGTGAACCATGTGAAAGAACTCTTAGTTAACAGATTAGGGAAATGTTTCATCTTTAAGTTTTCATTATTGGCCAAATCACCTGCCTCTGATTAATATCGAGCAATATGCTCGACAGTGGATTCACCAGTATCACCTGCAAGCTTAATTAACTTATGGATTTTCTAGACCCTTGGGATTTCAGTCTACAATACATACTCAAACAAGGCAGAAACGAAATTCAGTCTAGGAAGACTAACGTTAAGACCATTTCAGGCTAAAAATTTTCAACCATATTGGCTATGTTATTCCCCCCCCCCCCCCCCCCCCCCCCCCCCCCCAAATTATTTTATTGGACTCTCCTAACCACTTAGTCTGCACCTTGGTCCCTATTGACCAATACTACCCCTAGGCCATTTTGAACTAAGTCTCATTCGTCTTCCCCGAGTATAGGTTGTTCGATATGTGACCAATGTTTCTTCCTTGACAAGTCACTCATCTCATGACGCACAAAGAAACAACTAACCGTTTCTAGATCATCCTTTAAGGTTGAATATCATGCCCTTGTTGTAGAAAATTATGAAATACAATGTCTAGTCTATCTTCTTCAAGACATCCAAGCTTCGTACTTCAAATCACTTGTTCTATATTGTGATAATCTCAATGTCGTTTACATTACAGTCAATCTCGTTTTTCATGAAAGTACCAAACATTTAGAGATTGATTGTCAATTATTCGAGAGAAATTGCTAGCTGGTGTATTCGGGCTTCTTCCCTTCCCTTCCAAAGACCAAGTCACACATTTCTTTCCAAAACCTCTTTTTTCACAACCATTCCATCTTGTATTATTCAAGTTGGGAATAATCAACATCTATTATCCAACTTATGAGAAAATTTCACACAATGATAATAACTCTTAGTACTTATCTATATTCATGTATTCACAAGTTAATTAGAAGCATCATAACTAACTTATGAGTCAAGTAGTTAGATAGTTAAAAGTTAGTTATAGTTTGAAGCAAAATATATTAGTCATGCATCTTTTATGTGAAAATATATTAACCCCTCCATAAGTGTTTTAATATATCTTTTTGACTAATACATTTTGCTCAATTAATAAATTAATTTATTCTGTTGTTTAATTTTAAAAAAAATGATTGCCCAGACTTTTTCTTAATATACTTTATATGAATACACACCATGCAATTTCAACCACTAGTTTCTCTTTAAAAAAACCTGGATTGGATAAGTTTGAGCAATCCTCACTGTAGAAAGAAATTGTTATTGTGAGTGACAGAAAAATGGCATCACTACTATCAAACACAACAATTGCAAGGGGAAGAGAAGAAGTTTATGTGGCAGCAATGCCTCTAAGGGCTACAAAGGGACCACCCCAATTGCTTATGTCTGCTGCTTACTCCCTTAATTTATGGGATTTTCAGCATTTCATGGTCATCATCAAACCTTCTTCACCTTCACAGGTTTCTATCCTATTCCTTCTTCTGTTATATATATATAGTTTTGATTCAAAGTGACAATTGTGCTTTTCCAGATTCTGGTTTTTGATTTTCAACCAAAAGATCCTGAAGATATATATGTAGCACTAGCAGCTTTATTTGGAAGAGCTGTGCCAGGTGAGATTTGGAGTTTATTTTCACTTTCTATATTTAAATCACCATTTGTGTTCATATTCTCAGGAGCTGTTCTTGTGAGAAAGTTAAATAAGCTGCCGCGAAGCAAATGCTGGCTAGTTGGATATGCAGAAACAGATGCAATGGAAATAGCAAATGAATTCAACAGAAAATGGGAAACAGATTTGAGAATCGGTCTTAAAGATTGTCGCGATTATACAAATGGTAACTAGTTATTTCAATAATCAAACTTATGTGGCATCCATGTGTGTTTATGTGTTATCACGTGTCACTTATCAATTACTCATGCAATATTGCATTATGAAATCATGTCCTTACATTGTTGATTTACAAGTTGTATCATATAAAAATTGACTTTAGTTCTTCTTTTATTATGTTGTTTTACTTATACTTAACCATGAGGTATTGAATTTATTGGTCATTTTGAAGGTTTGGTAAAGCAACTCACTGGCGAAAAAGATGTGCTGAAACGTTTGAGAAACCTTGGTAGATAGAGGTATTTCCATTGCTAATTTATTATGGGGGAAAATACTAAGGCTGGGTTTTTTGTTTTTTCCATTCTGTATTGTGAATCACAATCAATACATGTATTGAAGAGAAAAATAAATAAAGATTAGTAAGATCATTTGAAGAATTAGCCTATGTTTGGATTCTTACAAAATCGTGGTGGCACCGCACGGTTGGTAAAAGCTACACTTGTTAGCTTCTAAAAAAACACAACAAGGTGTGGATGTGCGGTAGCGGTAGAGCTTTTAAAATGGATTTGTTTATATGGGTCGCCATGTGAGACTTGAAAAATTATAGAGTTTGGGTCTTAGAATTAGAGTATATAACTTTAAGAGAATTTAACATATCATCCTCAAATTTATACATGACATCTCCTGAAGTTTTATAATGGTCAAAATATCTTTGGTGATAAAACAGAAGAGTATTTCGAATTAAATTTTTGATAGAATATGAAAATTTCCAGTAGTTCAAAAAGAAAATTTCGATACGCTACAAATAATTATAGAAAATTTAACATTTTCGTGAACATACCGGAAATTTAGTTGAAACTAGAATTTCTGATAGGTTAGAAAAAATTGTTTTATCCAACGGTTAAGATTTTGTCAACAGTTTTGAAGGATTGTGATTGCACCGACAATTTTGTGTGGTTTCAAAATGCACTGAAAATTATATAAATAGGGGGTCACCTGTTGAGAAATAATCAGAATCGCAAAATGCCTCTTTGTTGTACCCTAACTTTTGACTCAAGATCCAACTTCATATGCATCATTGCATCTCTAACAAAATACAAAAAATAGCTTGTGTTTGCTCTTTGTGTCTGTTCTGGACTAGGCCCGACAGGCCCAAAAGCGTTACTAAGGCCCAATCCAAAAGGACTTACGGAGGTCCACGCCGGGCAAAGGAGTCACATCCGTGCCCGACATCCTGATGTCCAGCTCGACATCCCGCTGTCTAACTCGCGTGATGATGTCCAGCTCCACCTCCTGTCGTCCAGCTCGACGTCCTGTCGCCCAGCTCGACGTCCTGTCGTCCAGCTCGACATCCTAACGTCCAGCTCGACACCCTGCTGTCCAGCTCGACGTTGTCTCGAGCATCCCAACTAGGGCAGACTCAGTCCAACGTTCCCCCAACGATACTCCGGAAAGACCGCGTCTTCGTCCGCCCGCACTTCACGCAGCACATCCAGGAAGGGGACCACGTGCGGGTCCCCACTACCCACGTAGAACCTGGCAGTTCCTCCATTGGGCCAAATCCGCCCGGCCCAATGAAGGAACCTTGGCCCAGCGCTGGGGGCTATAAATACCCTCTGTTTCCAGAGGGTCAGGTATTGATCATTCTAACCTCAACTCTATTATCTGCTCGTACTCCCACTGACTTTAGCATCGGAGTGCCTTGCAGGTACCCCCCCCTCCTCGTTCAAAAAGCTTTCTGCTCGGAGCCAGCCGTGACGGTCCAAACCTTCTGATCAGGTCAGATCAGTGGCGCCGACTGTGGGGACAAGCTTCCCCGTCTAACGAACAATTCCAAAGACCAAAGCTCAATTCAATTACCTGTCATGGCTGATCCCGCTCGCGAAGAGCAGCACGTTCGTGTCACCGACACTAACAACGGTCCCGCGGACAAGAATGGACACCTCGACAATCTCGGTGATCCCGGCCACAATGTCACCCCCGTGACAACCGCCCCTGGACCTTCTTCCCGCAGGGACGGGAACACGGCGTCATCCTCGACAACCCCTCCAGCACTCGAAGACGACCCGGAAGCTCTCGCCTATCGCAGAGCTGCCCGGTTCTATGAAGTCCCAGTTCCCGCCGGGGCAGATGCCACGACTCAGGCACTGTTCGCGGCCATCAACCAGACAAATTATCTCATATTCGCCCAAGGAGAAAGACTAAGGGCACTTGAAAATGATCGACGCCCCCCGAGGAGGCATCAAAGGCCACCATCTCCACCTCCTCGGGTCGAAGAAGTTCGACACCCTACTCCCCCGCGGAGACACTACAGGGAGAACTCTAGGAGCCCCTCTCCCCCACCAAAGCAGAGGCGGCCCCAATATGAGAGACAGCCCGTCATCCCTACCGAAGAGCCCAGACGCGACCCATCAAGGCACGACAGGAGGCACAACAGAGACGGGCGTGTGACCTTCAACCACCGAGCATCACGCTCGAGGGAATCTCAGCACGATCATCGTGCCAGACATAATTACAGGACCCCTTCTCTTTCTCCGGAGAGGAGCGACGAGGACGACCCCCGCGGTCCCCTGTCGCAGGCTATCATGGACGCACCTATTCCCCCGGGCATGGAGAAGCCCCCACATCTGAAGGAGTATGATGGAGTAGCGGACCCAGTCGACCACATTGACGGGTTCGAAGCCATGCTCCACTATCATAATGTCGGGGGGGCCCATCAAGTGCCGTCTCTTCCCCACAACTCTCAGGAAGGCGGCCATGGACTGGTATAAAGGGCTCGCCCCGGGCTCAATTACATCGTGGCGGAACCTGAAGAACTAGTTCATCAGTTCCTTCACAGCTTCCCGTCGCCACCTGAAGACTGAGGCAGCCCTCGAGGCCATCATTCAAAGACAGGATGAAACCTTGAGGGAATTCATCAACCGCTTCAACCGGGAAGCAATACAGGTCCCCTGCGCGGACCATATGAAAAGATATTTGCTGGAGAGAGGCCTCCTCCCCGGCACAGAATTCAGGAAAGCTGTGGGTATTGAGCCACCTGCAACTTTTGATGCTCTCCTCGACAAAGCCCGAGCATACATGAACTACGAGGAGAGAGAAGCTGCCAACAGGGCACGAGACTCCAGGGCTCGCAATCATAGCAGTAGCTCGAGACAAGACCCTCCTCCCCGACGTACCGGAGAGAAGAGGAAGGAAGATCGACCCCGGGAGGTCCGGGAACAAAGGGGCCCCTCGGGCCGTTTCACCGAGTACACTCCGCTCACGGCTTCCTGCGAGCGTATTCTGGCGGAGTGTGCTAGCACAGATTTTAAAGACGGTGGCGTCAAGCGTCCCCGACCAGCTCCTGCCAAGCCAGGAGTAGACAAAAATAAATACTGTCAGTACCATAGGAGTCATGGTCATTTGACAGAGGACTGCGTCCACCTGAAGGACGCCATTGAAACCCTCATCAAAGGAGGGAGGCTCGCACAGTACAGGCGAAACGACGCTCCCCGTCGTGACGCCCACGAAGCAAAGGAGCCCGAAGAAGATGCCCGACCATCTGACGAGTCGGTGCCAATCCAGACCGCCTTCTCGGTAACCAGGCCCGAGGATTTCGAAATTCCCGAGCTCCTGCAGGAGCCCCTGACGACACACAGCAGGTGGGAATACTTCCCCTCCGCCATGGTCATCAACGGGGGCGGGTTCAACGACCTCACCATCAATTCAGCCAAGAGGAAGTTGGACGAACTGGTCGACGCAGCTCCTCCACAAACTGTGACGTTCGAAAGGGTGAAGGGAAGGTCAGAGCCCATCACCTTCTACTTAGAAGAGCTCCCCGGCGGAGCCCCGAACGCGGTCATCCCCTTGCTGATAAGGGCAAAGATGGCCAATTTTGACGTGCATCGCATCCTGGTCGACGAAGGGAGTTCCGTCGACGTGATGTACAGCCAGTTGTTCCGGACCTTGCAACTGGACGACTCACACCTCTCTCCGTATGTGGGTTTAGACCTTCAAGGCTTCAACAGCTCGACTTCCAAACCTTGGGGTTATGTCGAGCTCCTCGTGACGTTCGGGGAAGGAACAGCTACAAGACAGGTGAAGGTCCGCTTCCTCGTCATTGACTGCCCGTCCCTATACAATTGCATCTTGGGGAGGCCGACATTGGCGGAGCTGACAGCGGTTCCCTCAACTGTCCATCTAAAAATGAAATTCTATACCAAAAGGGCAAGGGTAGCCACCATCCAAGGCGACCTCGCCGCTGCCCGCAGGTGCTTCAACGCCGCCTCAAGGGGATGGGATACCGTCGACGTGGGTCCCAGCACCAGACCCATCAAGAAGACAAAGCAAGAGCCCGACAGAGCATCCCCCGAGGTAGAAGTTCAGAAGGCTCCACCAAAGGTTGATTCCATAGCCCTCGACGCCCGCTTCGACCAAGACGAGCCATCCAGCAGCGAGCAAATTCCCCTCCGACCTATTCCTGACGGCGATTTTGAACTCGTTCCCCTCGGAGCAGACCCGACCAAGGGAGTGAAGATTGGCAAGGACCTCCCCGACTTGGCCAGGAAGCAAATCAAGGCCTGTCTGCGCGAGAATGCTGATCTCTTCGCCTGGAGCGCTGCAGAGATGCCCAGACTCGACCCTGAGGTCGCCTGTCATCACCTCGCCATTGATCCAGCCGCCAAGGCCGTAGTACAACGTAGGCGTATGCAGTCTCCAGAAAAAACGGAGGCTGCTGAAAAAGCTGTAAAAGACCTCCTAGAGGCAAATTTTATTTCTGAAGCCCGGTATTCCACCTGGATGTCAAATGTTGTACTTGTTAAAAAGAATAATGGAAAATGGAGAATGTGTGTTGACTATACCGACCTCAACCGGGCTTGCCCGAAGGATGCTTTTCCTCTACCTAACATTGACATGCTGGTCGACAATTCGGCCGGCTACAAGACTTTGTCGTTCATGGATGCCTACTCGGGATACAATCAAATCCCAATGGCCCTGGGCGACAAACGCTGCACGGCGTTCATAACCAGCTCAGGCAACTATTACTACAATGTAATGCCCTTCGGACTGAAGAACGCCGGCGCGACTTACCAACGCATGATGAACAAAGTGTTCAACAAACAGATCGACGACATGCTCGAGGTGTATATGGACGACATGATCGTCAAATCTCGAGCAGACACTGATCACGCAGCTCATCTCAAGACAGTCTTCGCCCAAGCAAGACAGTGCAAAATGAGGTTCAACCCCGAGAAGTGCACGTTTGGGGTTAAGGCAGGAAAATTCCTCGGATTCTATCTAACAGAACGAGGGATTGA